GCCGGCGTCCGCTCGCGGGCGGGAAGGGGGCAGCGGGCAGCGCGGCGGGAGAGCGGGGCGAGAGGCCTGCAGTCCCCGGAGCGGGCAGGGCGGGCTCTCCAAAAAGGGGTTCGTCTCATGGCGTGTCAGGGAAACGCCTGCTTTGGGCTGCGTGGTGGTTTATTATCTCCAGTTCTCATTAAGGCGGGAATTTTAAAAAAATGCTCGCATTCAGAGTGGTTGCGTCCTGTTGCGTCGTGTTCGGGCAACTTCTATTTTTTTTTAACTTTTTTTTCATTTTTCCTAGAGAAGAAAACTGTAGGAGTTTAAGGAGGAATTTGCAAATCCTGAAGCGTGCCACTGTTGTGCTTCAGGTGCTCAGGTTTATCGGCAAAGCTGTGTCAGGTGCTGGGGTGTCACAGTAGCACAGAGAGGGAGTGGGAGTGTTGTCAGAAACGTGGGCTTTTTTTTTTTTTTTCTATTTTTTTCTCCCCTTTTTTTTTAAAGGCGTTTGGGTCAGATATAAAGCATATGCTTGGCAGTCTTTACAAGTTACCTTAGCGATGGGTGAAAGCATACCTGTATGAATTAAACTTCAGTGTTAAATGTCTCTGTAATTATTTTCGAGTAACTGGCTCTGTAAAAAACTTTGTAGACTCGAATATAGTCTTAAAAGCTATATAGCTATGGCACATACTGGCACAATAAGAAATTGAGGAGGCTTTGTGGGATTTATTTTTAACTTTTTATTTCATATCAATGATCTTCTAATGACATGATGTCTTTAGTGGTTTCTAAGTATATGAAAAAAATCAGGTTTGGTCTTCTTTCTTTAGAAGTTAACAGCTGTCTAAGCAGTTGGAGGCTTGTGATGAATGAAGCTCCTCAATAAAATCTGAGTAGACAGATCACTCCTATTAAAAGTAGTAGATCTGCTTGTATACAGGATCCAGATCTAAATACTTTATAGAATATGCTCAAAAAAGCAAAGGTAGGTCTGTCAGGTTTTCGTAACTCAACTTTAGATATATATTGAATGGGGATAGGAAGACTTCTGTCCTCAAATAACAATACCATTATCTCTTGATGAAAAAATGGGGGCTTTTTGTAGTTTTCAATTTTTTATACTTTTTTATTATTATTTGTGATCTCATGGAATGTTAAGTGTTTCCAATGTATTTGTCTTTCCTGTTAATTAGGTAACATGTGACACTCCATAACAATTTTTAGAAACCAACTAACAAAGTTTTTTTTAAATTTGTATCGATGAAGACTGGCAGGAACCAAATAACATCAAAAAGTCATCTCCCTTTTTTTGTTATGTGTTCTCTTGTTAAACCTCACTGAAGCTGAGAGTATCACACTTGTCTTTCGAGAAGGTTTGGATGCCTTTTGTTAGCTTCCCCTGTGCATCAGAGAATTGATCATTTTGCACTTCAAGAAATTTATTTGCGTGTTTCAGTTATTTTTTTAACTCATTTTACATGCTTGAGGTATAACAACAGCGGAAGCAATACATTATGCCCTGTATGCATGTAACTAAAATCAGATCAAGTAATTGTAGTTGTTAAAGAAATGGTTTAGAGAAACATGATTTCCGTTGAAAGTTAAGTCTGAATGTGAGAACTTGATTTAAAAACAACCTGAGAATTGATTTGCTGCCTTGCTTTGAAGCAGTTTTAGAGCATAAAACAAGGCACCCTGCAGAGACAGGCTTGCTTACTTGTTCTGACAAACTGCTACGAGCAGGCGACATAGCTCCTCATGTGCCTTAGACAGATCTCAGAGCACAGGTAGTTAGCTTGTCTAGGCATGATTTATTCCATGGAGGGTGAGTATATGGTAGTTCTAAAATCAGAAAGAAAGAAACAGAAAATGTTCCAGATCTTACTTGTTTTTTATCTTCTCGAGGGAGAAGAGGGAAAAGTAGAGAAGTAAGCATAGGGCAAACTTTGTACAATAAGATAGTGCAGGAGTAGATTGGTATTGTGAGGGGGAAAGCAGAGTATGTGTTAGAGACCTTGTATAGAACTTGCAAGATGTGCAAACCAGAGGAATAATGAAGAAGAAAAGGAAGGAGATTAAATCTTGTAATGGGGTATCATGGAGAATAGAGCTATATAAGTAAAGTTAAATAAAAGACAAAGAAATATACAACCTAATAGGAGGATGTTTTTAGCTGGCGTTCATTATAGAGAGTGCCAGTCACACCATACCAAAATTAAACTAGTAAAAACATACACAGTGGTGTGTTTCTGCAGTCACAGTGTTACACATACCAGAATGTTGGAAGGGACCTCTGGAGGCCATCAGTGTGGATTCTGTGCTCAGAGGGGGACTTCCACCAGTATTGGATTAAACCAGTAAGACAGAATGCTGGCTGGATGTTTAAAGTCTCCAAAAATGGAGATTCTGAAACCGGTGGGCAACCAGTGCTGCAGTACCGTCTCATTTTATTTCCTAAAGTCCGACTTGAATTTCCCAATCCAGAATGTGTGGCTGTTGATCCTTCTTATATCATCTTGGAATACTAAGGAAAGTTTTAAGGTCTGTCATCATTGTAAATATTCCTCAAGTAGCTTTAAGCTACTTCTGATTGAAGAGAAATATTTTAATGCAAGTCCTACCACTTCAGATCAGGAAGTAATTCCCTGGAGGGGTGTGGTTTTTCTGTGTTTTTAAATAAAACCTGGATTGTGTGTATGTAAGGGACACATGAGAATTGGAAATTTTTTTTTTTTTCATTTTTTCCCCCAACTGAGTTTGCTTTTATTTATGTTCAGCGCTGAAAATGTACAGTCCAAAGAAGGTACTTAGTAATAAAGCATTTGTGAACTAGAGGGTTTGATCTCAAGTGTTCTTGGCTCATAAAAGTAAAACTGATAAATGACTAAATATTTATTTTCTGAACCTCATGTTCATAATATATCATACTTCCTGTTCTGAAAGTATTCTATTTTGCTTCACAGCTGAAACCTTCATGCTGACAACAAAGAAGCTGGAACAATGGGAGTGACTCATTTGTGGCAAATCCTTGAGCCTGTGAGACAGCCTATCAACTTGAGCAGTCTCAAAGGAAAAACACTTGCTGTTGATTTAAGTCTGTGGGTTTGCGAAGCACAGACTGTTAAAAAGATGATTGGAGTAGTTACCAAGCCACATCTGAGGTATAGTATCCATATAAATTATTGTAGCTAAAAGCGTTGGAATTGTGTAATTTAGGTATGATACTTGCTCTAAATTTAAGAAAACCTCTGCAGTTTATACGACTCTGGTGTTTTGATTCTGTTGTTCTAGCTTGTGCTACCCATATGTAAAGGGTTTGAAGTGAAGGCTCAGTCATACTGGCTGAATTCAACTTAATGCTTGGGTACAAGTAGAATTTCTTGGGCCCAGCCAACCTTGTCTTGAGGTCTCAGCTGTAGATCTCATAGATGATGAGACAGGCGTAAGCAGAACCATGTTTGTCTTACTGTGGTATATCACTGATATACAGACCATCAAGGAACACAAATCATTGTGCTAATTCCTATATATTTCTGAGGCTGTGTGATGGAAGGTACTGTAATAGTTTCAACTGTTTATCACAGTAGTTTGGGTGCTAGTCAATTCAGAGCATACTGAAAGTCATGCATGCTCTACCTGATCTGCCTTATAAATTAAAAATTCTAGTTAGACCCCCTGTTGAATTAAATATGTTTAAATCATTCATCAGGCTTATGAGCAACCTTGAATATATTTTTAATTTAATCAAATCACATGCTTAAGGGATGAGCAAGTATAAGCAGCTTTAACTTCCAAGCACTGTTTTCTGCAAATGATGCTAACAAAAAATGAAAAAATGTACAAATTTTATAAATGACGTTATTGATTAGCTCAAGGATCCTGAACTCCTGTTAGACGTTCCTGTGGTTTCCGTGGAATTCAGCTGATATGAAATAGCATCCTCTGAGAATCGTTTCCTAAAATGTTATGCTTATGACCCCAAATGGATAATTAACTGTAAAACTTGAAGCATGACCAAAATCATTACTTCCCTCTGATAGGATGTCCTGTGTGCAGTAGAATGGGGGCATCAGTCCAGATCTCTTATACCGTCTTTCCAAAGCAAGACAAAGGGATGAACAGATTTCTACCAAAAAAAAAGTGTTTTCATGCAGTTGGAAATTTTAGAGGAACTTAACTGCAATAATTGTTTGTATCATTTGTGAAAATGGAATTAGCCTCAAAAGATCAGCTTAATCTATTTTTACCAATAGCAAATGTACAAAATTAAATCTATAGTAATGGTCTTTCCATGTCAGTCAGAGATAAAAATGTTTGGTCTACTGCTTCTGAAAGATTGATCTCCGAATTACTGGTAAAAGCATATTCTTTCTGATATTACTGCTGTCAATTTTTCTGTTATAGACCAAATAGTTATTATTGTGCCCTTGCAAGATTCCACCCATCAGTTACGCTGGCTTGCATATGCGATAAATTGGCATTGTGATGTATCTGAGTCTGTCTAATACCATAGCATTCAGTCACTTCAGAATCTGATGTACCTGTATTGATAGGTTTGGGATTAAAATTTGGTATAAAAGAATCAACATGGTTATATGTTTGGAAGCAGACTTTGAATATTGAATATTTTTTATTAAACCTTTTAAATCTGCTTACGTCTTTACACCTAAAAAAGATTTTTCTTGTCCTTATGTGGTAATTTTGTAAAGCTGTTACAAGTTCATAGTAAAACAATTTCAACCAAAGACAGTGATATAGACAAAAGCTTTGTTAGCTTGGGGGTGAGGGAATAATAAAAGGTGGAGAGAAAGCTAAGATTGTTCCTTGGGTAGGCTATAAGGAAAACATCAAAAGACATCAGGCTTCCCTAATTCTGCAGCTTATGGAACACTTTGCTTTATTGCAGAAACCTATTTTTTCGGTTCTCTTTCTTAACATCAATGGGAATTAAACTAGTATTTGTCATGGAGGGAGAGGCCCCCAAGTTGAAAGCAGACACCATGAGTAAGAGGAACGAGATGCGCTATGGCCCTTCAAAGAAAGTTGGAGCTGCAAGAACGGGGAGATCTTTATTTAAAACCATATTAAAGGAGGTGAGTAACAGAAGGCTGTATTTCAGTATTTTTAATGTTGCAAGAAGAAATGCTGACCAAATTAAATACAACTTGAAAGAATTAATAGTTTTCTACACAACAGTTTTCAGCAGTGTTTTGAGGGAGCACATGCCTTTGAAATGGGCCTTACAGCATCTGTTAACTGTTGCTGTAGAAGACAAAAAGTGTCAATTAGAATAATTTTGTTTTGCTGGGTTCCTGTGCGTGTTATGCTGTAGTGAGCCACGGTCATAATTGTGTGTTTATTACAGAAATTCAACTTCTTTGTTCTTTTATAGAGTTAGTATTGATACTTTTGTGGGTTTTTTCCTAGCTTGGGATATACGTGAAAACAGGAACGTATTGAGTACCTATGTAAGCTAAGCTAGTGTGTTTTTGAAGGGGTACACAGAACTGTTTTGTAATCTAGATTTATGATTTGGTAAACTGAATAGCTTAGCTGAATAGCTAAGAAAATACACTTGTTGGAAACCTACTGAATTAGGCTAAAAGGAAGACACTATAGTTGTCTTGGTATAGATGGTTGAGACAACTGTGGTTGCAAAGACCCCTATTCAGTAATTCTTCATTCATTGTTGCAGATGGTTAACCATTTTTGTCTATTCAAAATCTTATGAAAGTGAATTTATGGGTGCTCATGGCTTCAGTAGATTAAACTGTGAATTGATACATTCATTCTTAGACTCTAAAATAAATTATTTTTCCTGAAATTTGTAAGAAGTATATATGAGTATTTATCAGTAAGTTTTATACCATGTCTTACAAGGCTGATAGTACTGTACTTTCATGCTTGATATTCTCAGGAAGTCTGGCAACTGTAGAAAGATGTCTGTGCTAGCCCATTATTACTACTTGAATAAACAGCATGGCTTCACAAAGATAAATATTCCTTTCTTACTCGTCTTGGGAAAGCATCCCTAAATATCTGTTTAAAGTGTAAAGATTTTTGTGAAGGAGTAACCATTAGTCATGCTGTGTTTGAGTCCTGTAACTAATACATTGCTCTTGGTTCGATATTTCTTTTGATTATTACAGTAAACTGTATTTCTCAGTAGTGCTTATATTGATGTAGTATTCTATAGGCAGTGCAACAGTAGCAGGTTTTGTATATATTTATGTCTGAAAAAGCCTACGCTAATAAGTGAATCTAATTAAGCATTCAATCACTCTTTCCTTTTGGATTCGTTTTAGTGTCTCGAACTGCTGGAGTGTTTAGGTGTCCCTTGGGTTCAAGCAACCGGGGAAGCAGAGGCAATGTGTGCCTACCTAAATACAAAAGGATATGTTGATGGCTGCATTACCAATGATGGAGATGTCTTCTTATATGGAGCTCAAACAGTTTATAGGAACTTTGCCATGAATGCTAAGGTAATGTACCTTATCCTGTTCTCACCCTCTCTTTAGACTCTTCCCAGAAATGTAAACAGAAAGAAGGAGCTTGAAACAATTGCTTAGATATTATCTGATTTACTCTCTAGTAATTGAGTTTGTTTAAAATAGTACATTTAAGATAGAAACGTTTTGTTTGCTATGATGGCAATTCATGCATTGGATGTGAGAGGAAAACTACTTAATTGAAGAACACTTACGGTGTTATTGTCTGTGTTTGTAGTGTCCTGTGATGTGTAACATAAAGCTAAGTAGCAAACTCCGCACACACACCCCGCTCCTTTCTTCCTCTACAGTGGAGAATTTGAGTGAAGTAATCGCTTCCTGTAAATTTACCATTAGGGCATGCAGGAGTGGTCAGCCTCCTGGGTTTAATAACAGTGTTCATACACTTGCATCTTACAGGCTTGTTTTATTATGAATATACTTAAAATTAATACTGTTAGTCTCCAATCGAACACAAATGGGGTAGGGATCATACATCTGCATTATAATCAATTGTTGTGATCATTCAGAAAAACAAATTAAGTTACGACCTTGAGCTTAAGTGTTCATCTGTTAAGAATGAAGTTTTCCAGAACTAGCGAAAGGCAACCCCGGATTTCTATAATTTATACCTTCTCTATAAATCAGAGAAAGGAATGCATGTGTTCTGTCTGGTGAATCTAACAAGAAAGTGGAAGAAAAATGATATGGGTTTGGAATTTTAAATAATGTTCACCTGAAGGACTTGTTGAGAAAGTACTTCAGTAATAGGCAAAAATCAGAACAGAAAAAAAGCACTATGAAAAATTAACGTTTTAAAAAATAGTTCAAGTTGGTGGAAGATGATTTGCTTTGGCATTGTGTTTGGCTTCTGTCATGATCTGGCTCTTTTCTTTGATTCAACTTCCTTGTCATCACCAAAAATGAAGGTGGCCTCAATCTTTTCATGTGTACTTTGTTACATATCTAAGCCAACATAAAAAAAAATAAATTTCCGTGAATGTGTGTATTTCAGAGGCATCTGTTCCAGAAAACTGGATTATTTTGGGTTGTTGACTTGGAGAGGGGAGGGGTTGTCCTTTGCAGAGAGACAGTCCCCTGTGTTTTGATTCATGTTAACATGAAATCAAGATTATTGTGTTTGAGTCCCTGTACCCTTTAAACCTTTTTTTTTTTTTTTTTTTTTTTTTTTTTTTACTCAAGTAGCACATTAAAATGTTTACATGGATTTTAAAAACTGCAGTTCCTGAGGTGATTTACACAGCCACTAGTACTGGGTAATGTTAGTTTTGCCATACTTTTTCTACAGGTGGCAAACAATAAAACCATCCCTTGGCTTATTTTAGTTTCTTTCAACAGTTGATGCCCATACTTAAAACTTGAAATTCCTGAACTGTAGTTATTCATGTTGTGTCCATGCATTACATTACACATTTTTAACTGCTGCCTATTTTTTCTGTTATCAGACCCCTCTTATGTGATAGACCCATTTCCTTCAGATATGGGTGATTAGGGATGGGTAAACAATCACAACTGAATGTGACTCAGGGCAGTTCCTTCCCTGATGTTACAGAAATAACATGTGTGATAAATTTTTCATGCAGGATCCACATCTTGACTGTTACACAATGTCCTCTATTAAGGAGAAGCTTGGTTGTGACAGAGAAACTTTGATCGGGCTAGCTGTTCTTCTGGGTTGTGATTATCTTCCAAAGGTAAGCAATATAATTATTTTTTATTAGTCTTAAACATTGTCTTAACTTAAACTGTATCAAGGGAGACATGCATGCTGACAGAACTATGCGACGCATGATTACTGTGATCTAGTTGGAAAAGATGCTTAATAAGTCACTGTAAATTTTATTAATGAAGGCTTAAAGGGAATTAAGATGGTTCATGAACATTAACCTTTCTAAAACTAATATGTGTTTTTCTATAGTAGAGGCGAAGACAAAAGTTTAGATGTTGATTACATTGAGCAAAGGTGCAAAAACTCAGTTGTTTGTGAGGATGCTTTGTAGTCATTCACATATAAGTACATCCCTGGTAGAGTAGCTGTGGAAAATAAGAAAAACAGCTTTGTCTGTGCTGTTTGGAAGACTTAGTAAGTTTTGAACTGTAGTTATTAGTAATGCCAGTTCTGGATGCAGTTTGAATGTATCCCCTTTTAGTTCTGTCAGTTGTAAATAAATGATATATGAAGAAGTAGACATCACCTATTTAAAAAATTTCCTGATGAATGAGGAGAGAGGGATCTCATTCATTACTATTTCACTTTTTTCTTTCTTTCTTTTTCTGTAAGCGCTAGAAATTTTTTTGGAAACTTTGAACAGAAGCTGTTGTAATGACTATTTGAAATGGAAAGGAAGTGGGATGAAACTTGTTTTCCATGCAGTTCATTGTACAGTGACTTCAGGCAACAGATATCTAGTAATTCTCAAATCATTGTGGTTACAATTTGATAAAACTGTCCTTTTAAACAATTGATACTGATGAAAGAGCAAATAGCTCTATTTTTTTTTTCTGAAGTACTTGCTTCTGTTATAGGGATCTTTAAACAGTTGTTTATTATTATTACAAAATGAACGTTTAAAGAGAGAGGGAGTAGAAAAAAATGGTGGCTAATCAGTGGTTATTGTAATGGAACTAGCAGCTCCCAGAATACCAGGTTCTTGCATAGTCTAAAAGTGACACCATTATGTACTGTCAGATAGGTTTTTTGAGTTACTACAGCCCAGAAAAGTGGATGAAGATAAAAATTTTGAAGGAAAGCTGAATTATAGGGGTACGTTGGGAATGGGGATTGTCAGAATAGATAAATGAGAATACCACCATAATTTCATGCACTTTGTTGAATATATACCAAAACAATGCTTTCCTTGTGGAAGCTGAATATCTGACTCTCTGCCTGAGTGTCTGGCTGCAGTCCAGTGAGAATTTCTAATTGGTTTTGAATGTATGTTTATTTCATATAGTTGCATATATTCAGTCCAGCCTTTACAGCTGAAATAAAATAAGAACAGATTTATTTGTAATAATGCTGTAGAAAGCACACTCAATGCAGTCTTTATACTCAACTGTACTGATTCTTGCCAAAGTAGGGTAAGGATTGAAAGAGGAACAGGAAAAGTACTATGTGTGTTTTAAATCATAGAATCACATAATAGTTTGGGTTGGAAGGGACCTTCAAAGGTTTCTGGTTCAATTCCCCTGCAATAAACAGGGGTATCTTCAACTAGATCAGGTTACTTGTTGCCCCATTCTAACTGCCTTTGAATGTTTCCAGGGATGGGGCATCTACCACCTCTTTGAGCAACCCTGTTCCAGCATTTTACCACCCTCATTATAAAATACTTCTTCCTTATATCTAGTGTGAATCCACCCTCTTTCAGTTTAAAACCATTACCCTTGTCCTATCACAACAGGCCCTACTAGCAGGTTTGTCCCCATCTTTCTTACAAGCCCCTTTTATGTATTGAGAGGCTGCAGTAAGGTCTCCTGGAGCCTTCTTTTCTCTAAGCTGAGCAACCCCAGCTCTCAGCCTTTCCTCACCAGAGAGGTGTTCCATCCATCTTAGCATTTTTGTGGCCCTCCTCTGGTTGTTTTGAATCAACTGACTTTCACTCTTCAGTATGTGTAGTGGTTACTGTAAGTTCTGAATTTCAGTCCATGAGCTAGCTTTCAGAAAAGGAACCTCCAAGGTCACATTGGATGGGGCAACAAGCAACCTGGTCTAGCTGAAGATGTCTCTGCTCACTGTGGGGTATGGGGTTGGGGAACGTGGACTAGATGACCTTTAAAGATGCCTTCCAACCCAAATGATTCTATGAAAACATTTGCTGTTCCTATCTTTACCCATAGTGGTAGTCCCTTTTCTGATAAAGGGCATGCATACTACAGATGTAATATTGAAGTAAATACCAAAATCAAGCAAACAATTAAGAGAAGGGAAGGGTTGGGTCCTTTGGGTTTGTGGTTTTATTGGGATTTTAGTTATTTTTCAGAAAATGCTCTTGCACTTTGTCATCTCTCAGAATTGATTTTGCATAAGTGCTTGAGGTCTTCAGATATTAGAAGTTGTTTCTGTGGCCATAAAGCATCTCTTTCCTGTGAGTGAAAACTTTTTGCTGGATTTCTTCTACCTCTTAAGTTCCGATGTTTTGACTAAAATCCAAAAGATCTGTCTTCATCTTCTCTTCCCAAGACAATTCTGAAAAGTTTCAGCTCTCTGACAGTTAGTTGGCAAGATGTTACTGGTATTTTCTAGGAGTACAGCTGTAATCTGTCACCTTCTATGATTTTAGAACTTGGTCAAAAAATATTTTTCTTAATTTATTCTCAAAACCTGGGATAATTTTTGTAATTTCTCTACATACATGAAAATCTGAATGCTTTGTCATTAAATAACGTTTCATATTTCTGTCTCTATAGGGTGTTCCAGGAGTTGGGAAAGAACAAGCTTTAAAGTTAATCGAGACCTTGCGAGGTCAAAACTTATTGCAAAGGTAAAATGAAAATTTATGCTGTATGCTGAAGTACTTTGATTTTTTTCAAAGATTTGCTCCAAGACAGCGTTTGTAATGATTTTATTTGGGGCAGGGGAACGATTGCTGCATTCCTTCCTTTGTTTGCTAAATGAATTGTGTGTTTTACCAGGCAAGCTTCTTAATCATTTTAAACATTATCTGGCTCCTAGCTCTTGAGGTAGCAGATGTATGTTGATATATTGGAAGGGAAGTCATGGAGACTGATGAGAGATCTTTGCTATATTTTTTTAATCGGGTTCTAGATCAGGACATGAGATACATGAGATACCAAATGCATTCTGTGTTTGTTATCAATAATGTATGTGTCAAGACTAGAAATCCAACAATCATATACTGTACTGTAAAAAACTATTTTATAAAATGAAAAGCTCAGTTTCTTGGTTAGATGCTTAAGAAGTATAAAGGGGCTATTTTTCCAGTGTTCTATTTTAAGTATGAAAGTTTAAAATTTTTCTTAATCCTTTTAATATCATCTTTTAGATTTGAGCAATGGAAAGAACAATTTCAGTATGATAATACTGAACAACCTTTGGTTGTAAAAAGGGTAATTCACTGTTCTGAGTGCCATCATCCAGGTCAGTGTGAAATGCACCGAATGTTGCTTTTTAGCCTCATTGTTTGCTTTTCATTTGGGGGTGTGGCGGTGTCGTTTTTCTGTTTGGTTGGTTTGGGGGTTTTCTTATGATTAGCATTAAAAACTGTTTGTCATTCGTCTTCTGGTCTATCTTCAGATTTTCAGTATTGTGTATATGTATCTTCATATAAAAATTTTTGAGGCTGGGGACTACCTTTCTTCAGCTGTGAAACTAGTTGACAGCAGATGAAATGTCATGACAGTGCTGTTGTATGAGCCCAAATATCTGCCTTTTTATCATTATCAATAAAGAAAGTATGCTATACTGACAAGCAACTATTTCTTTAGTTGCCTGAACTGGTCTTGCATCAAGACTTGCATTAATCCATTAACATTGCTGGGTTTTGCTGCAGTGTTTTCTTAAAACGAAATTAATCCTAAGGAACCTCATTTTGTTAGCATCTTTGATCAGTGAACTCGTTCAAACCCACCACTTCGATAAGGAAAAGCTTGTTTCAAATGTGTTACTTATATATATTTGCCAGCTTGTCAGGCGCTTCTGTAGTTTTTAGGTACTAAAGTTTTAAGTATAAGGTCTGAAAATGTAGGCAAAAGTCTTGAAGAAAATGAAAGCTTGTTTTTATTTGTGAGTTTTCACTGTAGATATATAAATACAGCTGATGCACCCAGATCTGCTTAGAGCTGCTATTCATGTCAGATTCATATGTGTTCTGAACTTTGCGTTTGAACTATTAGCTTTGAATATTTGGAAAGTTTGGAAAGATCTTTCTCCTCATGCTTTGTGCGTCTGCTTCTATAGGATCTCCCAAGGAACATAAGCACAGTGGATGTAAATTCTGTGAAAGCACTAAATACTGCAAACCCAGTGACTCCAAATACTGCTGCCCTTGTGAATGGCATCAGTTAGAGCGAGTGAAACAAGCAAGTGCAGTGGAGGACAATATCAGAAAGTAGGAATGTCTTGAAAATTGAACTGCTTTTCCCTGCGTTCATGTGCGGGGGTGAGCATTTAAATTATGCATTTTTCCCATTGATATTCAGTTCCTAATGCATTTGTTTTACCTGCAGAAAAGCTAACAGTTGTGAGGGCTTTCCATTCTCTGAGGTAACAAACAAGCTTATTTGAAGATAATTTTTTTTTTTAATCCATCAATTGAAATTTCAGTTTTCTGCCCTCTCTTAAACTGCCTCTTTTTTTTTTTTTTCTTTTATCTCAAGGTTATCCAAGAATTTCTTGTAAACAAGAATAAATTGATCAACATAAAGGAATGTCAAAGGCCAAATTTATTGTCCTTTCAGGTATAGAACAAAATACCGCCTATTCAGCTCAATAGCTTTTTGTTTATTAGTAAGGAAGTCATCTGTGGTAATTTTGATCTTCATTGGTAATTTTACTGAAAATAAAAGAATCTTAATACAACTTCTTAATATAACTCATTTTTTTGAAAGCCTGAAATTGAAGACTTTGAAAAAAATCAGTAGATATCAATTGCTACATAGAAGAGTGGAATAAAGAGAACTAAGAAAAAAGGTCATTTCCAATTGGTTTGTTTTTCACTGTCAAGTATTACTAGATGGTGTTGCTGAATTCTGCATTATCTATATAGTGTATAAAATACTGTGTGGCTATATGGCCATAATATAAGTTCCAGAGTTGGTTGGGTTTTTTTTTTTTATCCACGTTTCATAAAGGTATTAACTGATACAGCTTTTGGTTTTATTTGTACTTGTTTCATCCTCACAGTGACACAGTGCATATATGGTAATTCTTTAAATGTTGTGTGTTTTCCCAAAACCAGCTAGCAGACTTGTATTTAGCACAATACTGCCAACTCTCAAGTTCAGAGACCCTTTTGTTCAAAGTGCACAAAGCTCAAAAGTGGTTAGTTTATTCCTCTGTCCATAGAAGAAAGGATAAATACCCTGTGAAGTTTCGGGCGGGGCGGGGGGAGTTAATACATGCATGTTAGAATTGTTTTCTTAGAATGACTTTGGTTTTCATTGGAGAAAGCAGATCTTTTACAATGTTTTATTTCCTGTGTTAGAATTCTTTATAGCATAATAGTTTACAGTTAAGCAATGTAGCTTTAGTATAAATCTGTGTTCATCCTTCTCTTACATGCAAAATCCATGATTTTCACAGCTCCTTGCATAGCTGATCTGAATGTGATAAGGTGTTTAACAGCTGTCTTGTCCCTCCTGCTGCCACTACACAACTGTTCCCTTGGCTTGTTGACAGCAATCTGCCCTGTTACAGAGGACTGTTCCCTCCCTTGCCAGTGAGATATCACTGGGCATTACACTGATGTGTAAAAGCATTCTATACATTTAAAATATTTAGTACTGTATCCCTACTATATAGCTGTCTGATCCAACAGAATAAGAAAGTTTTAAAGTTTGGGGTGTTTTTTTATACTAACAGATATTTGCTTCTGAGAAGATGGAATGGACTAAACACTACGCCTGTAAGAAGCTGTTAGCACTATTGACACGTTATGATATGATCCAGAGAAAATCTGGATACACTGATACAAAACAACTCCAGGCAATACGGTAACGTAGCTTGATTTCTCCAATCAGATACATTTACTTCTGCTGCTGGATGAAAATCACAGTTTTTTTTCCTCTTTACAGAAATATAATGGTTTTCTTCCATCTCTGTTTTCAAGCTTTGTGCTCATTTTGAATAGAGGTGAAAATTTAGATCAGTACACCAATTCTTATACCACTGCTGCACAAAGTAATACTTAGAGCAGTTTCATTCTAAATGGCAAACCCCATTTTTTCCTGTGCTTAGTTTCTGTTCTTTTTCTTTGGATCTGCACATGAGATTTAGCATTACAGGTCTGATCCTCTGCTCCGGTTCTTAGCAGAAGTTTAATTGACTTTTGTGGTTCAAAATAAGAGCTTAGAAGTAGAAATGAGCATGCAGATTCAGTCATGGTCTCTGATTCCTTATCAGACCTACCAACTGTCGTTGTACCATGTGTTTGATGAAATCATTGGCTTACAGTTCTATTCTGGTACCCCTTCTCAAAACAACATTTTCATTAAGGATTGCTGCATTTAGGAATATAAAAATGGCCAAGTATCCTGTTACTAAAAGGGATATGAAGGAACAAAACCAAGTCATGCAGGTAACTGGTTTCCTCCAGAATACTTTCCCACCATCCAGGTTTCTGTTACTTGAGGATTTTCTGAGCTAGAATTAGTACCACCTTATTCTATCTGCCTCGAATTATATTTTTTTCCTAATCTTGTCTTAAACTTAGGTGAAGTTTTAGAATCTACAGTGTTTCGGCAAATCTGAACTTAACTTCACTGTGTGAAGGCAATTATGATTTTTTTTTTTTTTTTAACTTTAGTATCTGATGGTTACATTTCCCAAATAAAACCCAAATTCCCCCTCTTCCCCCCTGATATTCTTGTATTGTAAGAAGGTTAGTGGTTTTTGCATGTTCTTGGTGCTGCTCAGGATTTTATAGACCTTAATTTTGGGGGACAGGAGGACAGTTAGTAGAAATGTGATGGGTTGATATGTCTGTTAAATTATTACTTGCAGAGAAGCTGTTCTATTCAGTGTTATCTTTCAGAAGAGTGGAGAGACTGGGGGCTACTTTTTATATGGATTGTCTAGATAAATTACCAGCATTTACCTTGATTAATTAATTAATTGACATCCTCTATAACACTTTCTAGTATTTCATCAGTTTAAAAGACAGATCATGCATGCTGTAGAAGATTTCTTTTGTTAATAAGTGTTAAAAACTCAGTAATAATTCAGCAGGAGCATCTTCACACGTAGAAACCTATTAAACTGGGCTGTAGATAATTTTTTTAGAAAAATCTCATAAAGACTGACTGTCTCTGCTCAGTTCATGTTTTATCTTCCTTCGTGCTCTCATGCAAAAGAGCCTGTCTGGTCATCCAGAAAGTTGCTGTCTATAGCAACAGCCTTCCCTGTGACATTAGTTGAAGATATCAAAATGGTGTTTGTAGGAGTCTGCTTTGTAGTTGTCTGTTACAGAATAGCTTTTTGGTTTCTTGTTATGCTCCTCTGAGCTGTATCGTTAAAAAAAACCCCAAAAAATCTAGACCTAAAATTTTACTGTATAACTTATACAGAGAAGTAGTGTATTTTTTAAAGGTGTATTACTAGAATATTTTTTCCTCTGAATCATTACAAATTGGAGTATTGAAATATTTTTAGATAACTTAGATTTTTAATTTCCTGTTTAAACAAAATCATTTAATGGACTTATTTTTGTTCATACAGGATAGTCAAGACACGTGTTAAAAACGGAATTCCTTGTTTTGAAATTGAGTGGCAAAGACCAGGTTGGTCTGGTTTCTATGTACATTATGGAACAAAACAGTTCATAGAAAAAGAGAAAAGCATGCTTTAAAGAGAAGAGTTTGACAAGATTATGAGGCAAAGCATTGTGGGTGAGATTGGATATTGTTCTGTGAAGACAACAGAAAATGCGCATCAAATTTCACCTACCCTGAAAGTAAAAGCAATGCTTCAAAAGAGAAAAAAAAAAACAAACAACCTAGAAAGCAAGGGACTTGGTCTTCAGTACTTTTTCTGGTACATGTTAATAAGATCTGGGCTCTGTATTTCATATCTTATTTCACTCTGTACCCAAAGCTGTGACTGTTTACTACTTAGAAATTTTGCTGTGCTGACAGACTTCCACCTTTAGTGTGCCTGTTTGTGCCAGGAGACTGGCAGAAAGAAAAAGATTTTAGTTTTAGCTAAATCTCAAATGTTGTACTCTTGACCTTTTTACATACCTTCTTTGTACTCAAATAAATCTTATGTTCTTTGTTTTTCTTATTCCCTGCTTTGATTTGTGTGTATATATATGTCTAATGTACATTCATGAATTTTTTTAGAACATTATGTTGATGAAGAAGATGAGCCTGTGGAATTGTTTGTAGTCACGGTAGAAGAGGAGTCTTTGTTTCAGGCTGCTTATCCTGATGTTGTTGCCCTTTATCAAGCAGAAAAGTCAGAAGTTCTGAAGAAGAAACAAAAAAGTAAGCCCAAAGTTTATTTCTTAGGAACTTATGGGTCTTGCCAAAATACAAGAAGAAAAAGCAACAAACATTTTTTCCACTGCTGAGCACTATCATGTTTTATCAAGATCAGGGCATGATATCTTTCAGGGACTGGTTTTATCTTACCATTTTATACTTTAGCACTAGGAGATCTGAACTATAGTTAATATGCCATTTTGATATGCTTTTTTTTTTTTTTTCAGACAGGAAAAACAGACCAAAAGAAAATGAATTATCAAATGTTTATGATGAAGTTAGCGATCTTCTGTCTCAAATTAATTTAAAATCTGAATGTGGAATTCTTCCTGTGCAAGACTCCACATCAGATATAAAAACTCGCCCAGATCAGATACAGCAGAGAAGTACTGAATCAAAAGATCTGGTGTTAGCTACAGCTTCCAGCACAGCAACTGTTCAGATGCCAGCATCAGCAGCTGCTCTTCCTCTGACTGCATCACCTTCCTTGCTCTTACAGAGCACGTTGGCTGACTCATCCGTATTGCCACCAGAATTTACTAAAAATTCAGGGATGTCGTCCTCTTCCTCTGTAACAGCTGGTCTACACCTGAGCAGTATTGATTGGGAAGGAACCTTCTTCAGTGCTTCATCAGCCTGTGGGGGTGACACCTGTGATCCAGCAGCTGGCTTAACTACGTGCATAAAACACTCCCATCCACCAGGTCATGAAACAGTAAGAAATAGCTCAGAATATTCTGATGCTATGCAGTCTGATCAACATCATTCTGGTAGTTCAGATGACTTGGTTTCAGATGATGCTATGGGACAACTTCAGAAGTGGTCTTTAAGTGAGCGAATTCTGAAGAAGACTTCCATTCCATCAAAGCCTTTGTTGTGTGAAGATGTAATACAACTGCAGTCTTTTAAACAAACAAAAGAAACCTTGCATCCTGATAAAGATTATGTGTCTTCCTTGCATCAGTTAAATAAACTAGTGCAGGAAGGTAAAAATGTGCCATCAGAAAACTACGCGAGGGAACCCAGCATATGCATTTATCAAGATCAGTACAAAAAAGCTGAGAGCCTGGCTGAAATTATGCAAAAAGACCTTAATATAAGCAGTTCAGCATCTCTAGCCTGTAGTGGGCAAACAGCAGAGACACTGCATCTTGGGTGTGAACTGCTTCCAGTGTCTCAGAAGCCGGCAAGTGTTGTAAGTGACTGTCACATTAAAAAAGCTTGTGTTCAAACTGCTTGGAAAACTTCTAAAAAGAGTGTATGTCAGAAGAGATGCTCTTCTAGTGAAGACAGTGATGATGGAAACCTGAGTAAAAACCTGATTTATGAGCAGCAGAAAAAGCAACTGATTCCTGGTCAGTTTAAAAAATCTTTTACAAAAAAAAGGAGTAACACTGTTAGTGGCAAAAGAACAAACAGTGACTCAGCCCTTATAATTAAAGGGAAGAAAAAACCGACCAATTTTAAAAAAGCTGGTAATAGTTTTTCATTGCAAGTATCTCCAAAACTATCCTCTGTGGGAGAAGTTAATTGTTCCCAAAGTCCAGAGGAACCATTTGAGAGGTTGGGTTCTGGTCCCACGTGGCAAGCCAGAAGTGCTCTGACTTCTGCGTGGGCAGAAAGTCCCCTTCCCCTGTCTGAAAGACTAAAAAGAAGAATCAAAATCAATTAGGTTCTCCATAAAATAGGTCATGATAACAGTATACTCAATCTTCAGCTTTTACAGACTTTTTTCTCAAAGTTTTTCCAGTATGCCTTATCAATTTTATGTAGACACAGTTTTGATGAATAAGAAGTGCTGTGAAATACTGCATACTGGAGCTAAAGTTTGAAACTGAAATATTATCAAAAGTACAAAATAGCTGATTATAGGCAAGTGATTACATTCTGAACTTGATACTTATGTATCAGGGTATAGTATACATGGGAGTGGGGAGGTTTGTTTATGAAATAAGAATGTTTTTTCTCCCAGCCTATCATGAGGATTTTGTGTACAGCTATTAGTTCTGTTCATAAAACCAGACTTATTAGAATAGTGTGTGCACTGATGTTGGATACTCTTAATAATACAAAGTGATACAGCTCTTTCCAACTGAAATTTTCCATTCTGTTTCAGTAACTTAATTTTGCTAGTTTTAAAATGGGTTTTCAAATCCTGGGATGCTGATTTTGTTGATTATCTCTGAAGGACCAGATAGAGACACACAACAGATGTACCTTTCATGGTAGCTAAATTTATATCTGCCATGCTCTATGATAAACAGTTTAAGTGTGTGCATCTTCCAAAGAATGGGGTAAGCCATGTAAGGATGTTCTGGTTTTGTATTTAAGGAAATTTTATGGCTGTTTTAATGAAACATTTATAGCTTGGGACTTTTTTTCTTCAAAGAAGATAGGAAATCTCATCTAACATTCACTTCTACTTATAATAGAAGGAAGATTAAGATACAGAAAATCAAAATCTCATGATGGTATTGCAGATTCTTTGAAAAATACTGTGTAAATGTTTGTTTTGAAAGGGGGAACATGAATAAAACTGCATTTTTGAAGGTATTCTTCCTATCTCTTCCTACTGAAGCAATCTCTGTACACAAAAAAAAAAAAAAAAAAAAAAAAAAAATTTGTCTTCAACAGCTTATTAGAAAATGCCTTTTTGTCTGTCTTTAAGTGTTTGTAACTTTTCCTGTGGACCAACCAGAAGGAAGGCCACTCTTACCCAGGTATAATGTTAATGACAGAAATTTAGAATATCTGTGCCTTAATGAAAATGTCAATTCTTTCTTTATAAAGGCTAAAACTTTAAAAGTTAGGAAGCTAAATTTCAGATATATTTAAAGAAGAAATAGGTAGTCCATAGATAATACCATCTGTAATTATCCAAAATGAACGTATGTTTCTTCTCTCTTGTGAGCAGATGGAGAAAATGTATTTATATTTGATTTTCCAAATGAGAAACGTATCATAGAAATGAGAAAAAAAAATCCTAAATGCTGAAAACTTATTTTCAGATTTGAAGATGGTCTCCCTCTTCTGGAGACTCTTAACCACCCAGCTGGTGTGAGAGGGTAGCTAGAATAGAATTGCTAAGGAGAATGACTTGCAGTTACCTGGGGACTGTAAATGGAGAGATTCCTTATGCAGTGGTCAGTAGTGGAGAGATCAGATATTTTTTTGTGGAAAAAAATTGTTACTGATTATGTATGATTATTTTCCTTGCTGTGATTTTTGAATGCTGCAAGTTGGAATCAAGAGTTTGAATTTTCATTAATAAAAATGCCCACATCATGTGAATGACATCACTATCCTTCCTTCACATGTATGAGAATGTGCTCTTTTGCTGGAGGGATCATACAATTTAACCCACAGTGCGTTTCTGTGGTTTAGGGTTTTCTTTATAATTGGGGGTTAAGAACAGTTTTGGGAGAGTTTTCTTGCTTCTTTTCCAAATCTGGCAGGGATGGATGGTTCATTGAAAATACTGTGCCAGAATTATGACAAGTTCATGTTTTGTGAATGATGAAAAACAGAAATGACATATTAGATACTAAGAACTGCAGAGGAAAAAAACACAAACAAACAACAACCTGTTCCTGATTATTGCTACAAATTAATCTGATTCCATAAGTACAGTTCACGCATGAAAAGCAGAAAAATTTATATTTTTTGTTTGCAACGCATCTCAATTTTGTGCAAGTTTTCTACTTTAGAAGCATCAATAGATGTGAAAACAACTGTATACAGGATGTGCTCTCTCATTTAGGCTATAGCTGCTCATTGCAGCAAATAAACAAGAACATTTATCACTAGGAACAACTTCAATTAAACTGGTGATTTGTTACAGAAGGGAAATCATAGTTTTTAAAGTGTTTTGATTTCTCATCTTTCTGTACTTTACTCAGTCTAAGGATTAGGGGTGATTTTTTTTCTTCTTTGGAACTGCTTTTACTGTACCAAAGCTGACTGCTTTGCAACCTCTCACACTTGTGAAGATGATGTTTAAATAAATTGATTGGGTGTAACAGATAACTTTCTTCTGCAGGAAGTATTTCTACAAGATTATGTTAAACTGGCTGTAAGTATAAATGAATGTGATTCATCAGCGTGATGACCTTGAATATGTTTTCATTTATCATCTGTCCTGGTCAGCCCAAACACACTCTATCAGGGCGCTTCATCTAGAGTAATAAAGATATACATGCTATGGAGGTAGGGCAAGTAAAGGATGCATCGTTCTTCAAGTACTTTTCTGAAAGTATTTCTGTAAAACTACTGTGCCAACCCAGGTACTCTACCTGTTCTATCACTTCTGATGTCAGCTTCCCTCTAGCCTGAATGATTCCTGCAGAGATACAGAGCAGATCCCTAAGTTCTGTCTTAGTAGTATAAATATGGTTATTCCCACTTATAAACAGTATTAAACATCTACTTAAATGTAGCAAATTTGTTTCTTAAACTGTGCTAAAGGGAAACATTTATTTGGCACTCCCTGTTACAGTAACTCATTTCGGGTCCATGGGGAGTCAACCAGAAAGGAAAATAAGTACTGTTTACATCGAATATATGCAGAGCTACAACAAAGTATGTTAAAAAAGCCGAACAAACCACTCCTTGATGTCTGTATATCCCACTGTCAAGCTATGCGTGCTCTTACTTTTTTCATTGGAAGATACTGAAATATTTACCAACATGATAAATCTTTTGCTAGTTAACAGGGAAGATTATTATTTAACTTTGGGGAGTTGTACAAGCTTGGCTCTGTGCTCTTCTGTCAAGAAAGATGCTTAGAAATGTAGTGGTGAAAGAGACTAATGGCAGCTGTTACTTGAGACAAGATGGTCTTTTTATGTCTAAAAAGGTGTCAAACCCTACAGTATTCTATCAGCAGATAAAAGGAAACCGGTTAGAATATTATGGAGAGTTGTTATCAACCCAAGTGCTACTGACAAAACAGTAAACTCAAGTGCTAGATTTAGCACTTTTTCCTTCAAGAAACAAAACACACTAACTTGCAAGAAAACAGAATTATGATGGGTGACGGAACCACTCTTTGCACAGTCATCTTGCTCATGTATCCCAAATCATTAACTTAATAAGCTTAATCACATATCAAACTTTAAAATTCTTCAGTTCTTTAAACCCAAGCCTTGTCTCCACCCTCCACCCCAATTTCCCTTGATGGAGCTCTAAGAGATTTTGTCACCAGAGACTGAGCACAGCTGGAAAAGGGACATACCTTTGAAAATTTTGCTCCATTAAAACAGCTACTATACTAAAATCCACCTGAGGGATATTTAGCTGCCTGACTAAAATACAATGAAAGAAGCTAACCAGAGATATTTTTTTTTAATGCCAAGATAGTGTAGAAGTAGCTGTACATTAGCTTTTATGTTATTTTGATATTTTAAACCAATTTGCTGTGCTACAGCACCTCCCCAGCCAAGCTGGAAGCCAAGATACTTGTCCTACCAGTCTTGACAAAGGTTGGAACTGGCAATCTGTGGGTATTCTTTAGAACATGGTGGGAAGAACTATAAGCATGGTCTGTTTTGGATAATTTGTGAGAAAACTCACTAGATGAACCCTTAGGTGCTGTCATCTTCTTCCATTGCAACATCCCAGTGTTGCCCCAGCAGTAACACCACCTAACAAATAACAGACAGACAGGATAGCCCAAATCCTAGAAACTGTCCAGGTTTTATCTGCTGCAAAAACATGAATTTTGTGGCCTCATTTCAGGTCGAATTCAGGATGTCTTCCAGTCTAGCATGAATACAAGGTCTCAGAGCAGCTTGAGCCTTTAAGCTTCTCTGTTGCTCAGCTGACTGCAATGTGTTGTAGACATTTTCTTTGAATCTTATGCACGGCTGAGCTAAATTTGCTGATTGATCTGCAGCTGGGTGGAAAAAAGCCCTGTACTTGGGCTCAGATCCCAGAGAGCCTGGAGTTAAATGGAACAAAGTGCTCCAGGAGTTACAGCACACCTACTCTATAGGGGCTATAAGACTTTTCATCCAAACTAACATATTGCTAGTTTTTGTAATTTTTGAATGGCCGCTTTACCAAATGACCTGGCAGTTAAAAATAGGGATGGTGGTCTGTTTTCTTCTAATTAGTTACAGGGCTGATGTCCAAGCATGACCTAGGAAGACACTGCTGAGAAGGACAGCATCTTTCATATGCTGCTGAAGGAATGGGCAATTAGCAGTTCATAGATGACTGTATGGCACTGGAACAGTTTTGTTTATTGCTTTTTTCTATACCTAAAATGTTTTTGTGGTTTAACTGTGCAAAAATCTTAGTTCTCTCCAGAAAGCTTTCTTAGCAGTACAGGCAGCCAGTCTCTTAATTAATTCTTTTGAGTTTATAGAAATCTGAAAGTTTCCTGAGCATGGGTAACCAGAACTACTGCTTAATCTGACTTAATCAGGCATCTCCTATTCTGTTGAATAGACCAGAAGAATGTAGAGTGTCTTTTTTGATAGAAGTTCTTAATAAATAAAGAATTTTAGCTGGAAAAGGAGAAAACTGGTTCAGTGCCCTTCATCTGGATGGGTTTCTGGGAAACTAACTACACCACCCAGTTATGGTCATGGACTCTTATGGAAAGATGCTTTGTCTATGTCATGTTACTTATTCCCTTTGTCCTTCACTGATATTTTTTAACAACTGGCCAGTTTTAACTGAATTTGATAGTTTCAAGGCTATAAATGTGTTATAATCAGTTGCTCAGTGAAAAGAGAAAAACTTTTCATGCCTTCCCAATGGAAAGAAATTGGCAGTGGCCCTGGTGACAGCCAGCTGGTCAGTCAGCCCACACGTGCTTCCCTGAGGTGTGACATGGGCTGTCTTTTGGATCTCATGCAGATTAAAAAAAGATGGAGGATGCATGGAGGGGACATGAAGAGGTAAAGGTGGTTTTGCCAGGATGGGTTATCGAAGGCCTGAGAAAGGTGCTGCTGATATTATGAAGTTTAGGCGATACAACAGTGGGGTGACATAGGGCATATATTAAATCTGAGTTCCCAAGCACTTGTATTGTAAGTTTTGGAATAACCTCCTGGGATAGCCCAGGGCATGCAGTTTGGCAGCTCTGCCTCTGTACAAACCTAGGCAAAACTGCTGTCCTCCCCATGTCTGGCTCCTACCAAAATTGTTACTAAGCCACGTATAGCCCCACATCTACTTCTCCATTATCTTATTAAACTGAAAATACTAGCTTTTACAGCGTGGTTTCAGATAGGGGTTTGCACTGTCTATGTATTTATTTTGAACATCATGAGAAGTGTGGGGTTTGTAGGTGTTCTTACCATCAAGTCCAAATGAAGGTGATGGGATCACACCCATGCACCTCCAAGCCCAAATACACCTTTGTTCTGGTGTCTGTGGATATGCCCTCATCAAAGAGGATGTCACTCTGTTTCCCAGACTCTTTTTTGTTCACCTTTCTAAAAATCCCAAATCTTACTGCTTGCAGGTTGCTGAGAATTTGCAATTAGATATTTGGGAAAAAATGTAGCCTTGTGGTTTTTGTGATTTCTAAAGAAATACTGGTTTCAGTTGATGGTATATTTTCCCCCAGTATTACTGTCAGTTGCTAACTGTTATGATTGTTAGTATGCTACTTGTAAAAACCCATGGAGTATGTTATTCTGTTGTTCTTCTTTAAGAATATTCTTTCTGGCAATATCAGAAGAAAACACAATGATAACCACATGATTAAGAGGTTCTGAGATATAATATTGAAAGCAAGCAGGATTCACAATTACATTTTCCATTTTGGGGTTTTTTTTGTTGGTTGGTTGGTTTGGGTTTTGTTTTTTCCTCTGCAAAGGCCAAGTTGGATTCTGTTTACTAAAAAAGCCTTTCCCAGCACCATTTCTGCAGCACCTTCCACATTGTAGTCGCTGGTGGTAGTGATTTGGAAGGTATCCCATAGTAGTTAACTGATTTCCATAGACCAGTAAAGCAGAATTCATAAATAATTTTTTAAAAGGCACTAGACCTTTGCTTGTTCTGTTATCTATAGCCCACCACTGAGGTCTTATGGAGGACATTCCTCTCCCCACACTGATAATCTGAAAGATATAACTGTGTAAAATGGGCATTTGGCTGTCACTGAAAGTGTTTGGATTTCTACACAGAACTGAAAAATTCCTTCAAGAAAATGATGTGCCTGCCAATAATAGTGGTGTGTATCTTGAAACAACTTCTTTGTAATGGCGTATTTATCTTGTAAGATAACAGCAACTGAAGTTTTACATTTTTTATGTTTTTCTTAGTAAAAA